TGAATTGCAACAGTTACAACTATTTGCTGTGAGCGAATGTTTTGATCGTGATCAATACAAATGTGTTAAAGAAACTTTTGAAAAATTTGATAGAGATGTGCATATGCTCATGTATGAACATAATGTATTTGTTGAAAAACTTGAACTATTGCATTTTTATGGCAACATTGTATTAGACTTGTTTCAACAGTATAGTATAAATTGTATGCAATTAACAAATTGTAAAGAATTATTAGAAAAAAAATAAATGTAATGAATAGAATAGGAAACTTGTTAAGGACTTGTTACATTATGTTTTTAAAAAATGTCATAATTTATTATATTTGAAATAATTTTTTTAGATAACTAATAATGTCAGATCAAATTAGTAAACCATCAGATAAAAAAAAATAAAAGATAGAAGAAGAAGAAATTGAAGTTCAAATAGAGTCAAAATTAATCGAAATAAATTGAACTTTACAATAATTGGCTGATTTCGACTATGTTGATGAAATGATGATTCTTAACTCATCGATAGATTATAACGAAATAATAAAAGGTATTAAAATGAAATTTAAAAATTTATTACTTAACAAATGTTGGTATATTAGTACGCTAAACCAAAAACGTATTTTTGATTTGCATCATAAATATTTATTTGATTTGTATCAATAATTTAGTTTTTCTGCTGCAAGATTGCATCTTGAAATGACAGACTTACGAAAAATTTGTTATTCCGACAAAATATGTAATATAAAAAAAGAAGATTACTTTTGGTTGCTAAAGAAAACAATGACTATAAAAAATTGAAATTAAAAAAATAAATTAGCGTATAATAAATACCTTGTAATTTCTAAACTAAATAAAATGTTAATTAGTTATAGCAAACGTGTTACATATTTAAACAATGATTATATAAGTGCTGTAAAATATTATGACATGTATGATATGAATATTAAATTTTGATTTTTATTATAATTTTTTTTAGATGGAACTAACAGAAAAAAAGTAAATGAATTAATGGAAAAATTATTATTACACAATGAAATTTGTCCGTTTACGTTAGAAGAATTAATTATTCGAGCTAAAAAATTTCAACCATTTGTATGTGAAAAATGTGAATTAAAGGAAGAATATTTGTATATAGATGGTCAGGATAATTATTTTGATAACGATGTGTGGGATATTTTTTTTCGATACGAATTTACGAGATCAGAAAATATGTCTTATAAACATCAATTTGTTGTTATGTTGACAGAAAGATTTAAAAAACATTTTTTAGATACAATAAATCGTTTTTTACCACAAAACTTTAAAATATTTTATGATTTTTTTAAAAACTATATATGTGTAGATGCTTTCGTTTTACACGTTAACCACTTGAACAATGAAAATAAAAATAATAAAGATGATGATGAAAGAAAATGTTATTATTGTAATAATCTTTATTAATTTTTTTTTCATTGATTAATAAATATAAATAAAGTTTTTTTTTTAGATGTTAACAGAAAGTAAATTAAATGATTTATTGGAATTTTTAAAGATGAATGTTATTTCTATTAAAAAAGAAATTTCCGAATATTTTGATAATACTCAATTAACACTTTTCATTAAAAATCACGGAGAAACTGTATCTTTCAAGTTAATGTCGGATGAAATATACAAAAAAATGGAATGTGAATTTAAAGACGAATATAATTGGGGCACTTTGGTTTCTACAAATAAAAAACAAATTCCATTAAGATTATGTGGTATTATTCTTAATTGTATTTTATTAACATTCAACTATTCAAATGAAGAGTTTGAAAAGTGTGATTTTTTAAAATTTTGTCGTTTTTTTAAATATTACCAAAAAAGAGGAAAATTTATTTGTGAATTAAATCAAGCTATTGATAAAAGTAAAGAATGGTTTTAAAAAAAACGAAAACTGACAAAATTGAAACTCAAGGATATTATGAAAACTTTTATTAGACTATTTTATTTTAAAGGTATAGGTTATTTAAATACTAAATTTACTTTATCACATTTGTACGATAAAGCTGTAGCATATAAAGAATGTTGTGGAAAATGTAAAATCATTCAAAATGATGATCAATTAAAAAAGTTTCGTGTTCCAGAATTATATAATTGGTCTTTAAATGAATGGACTGATTTTTTTCATTACGAATTTGTTAACAATTATGTAATTTTATTTTTGTTGGAAGTATTTATGAAAAATTTTTCAGATTATAATGATCAACCTTTTTATACATTTTATATGTTTTTTAAAAAATGTGATAAATTTTTAATTATTGATCAAGTTAATTTAAAAGTGTATGATTATGTAGAAAAACTTTTTTAATATTATAAAAATTGTGCTTTTTTTTGATGGAATTTACAGAAATAATGTTGAATTGTGTAATGGAATCTTTTAAAAAAATTTGTGAAAAAGAAAATTGGACATTGGCTAAATTACAAGACTATGCTTTAAGATATAACGCATTTTGTCATTTAGATAACATTTTTGAAATGGAAAATATTTTTGAAGAAGTAAATTGCTTTATTGACAATCATGGTATTGTTATGTTAATGATTTAACAATATATAAGACAAAATTTTCATGTTTATTTAAATGTAGACTTTAACATGTTTTATCAATTTTATGAAAATATGAGTGAATCAACAAATAAAAAATGGATTGAAAAAATACAAATGTATATTGATCTATGCATAAATTTTAGATATTATTATGAGAACGAAGAAGAACTTTATGATTTTACATATTAATAGAATAATTATTATTTTAGATAAAAAATATAAAATATGGATATGCGAAGAAAATATGTACAAGATAAATCATTAAAAAAAATATTAATTGAAAAACATTGTGAAGAAGTTACAAATGTATTATCGTTTACATTAAATAAAATGAGTAAAGAAATAGATTTGTTAATAAAAATACAAAACGATAGAAAAATCAACAAAAAAAAGTAATTTTCGAACTGAAGAAGAACAAAATGATATTAATCATGATGATGTTTTATAAATTTGTTATATTATATATGTATTCTTAATTTTTCGTATTTTTTTTCAAAAAAATAAAAAAAATGACTCTATCTGCTAAACAAAAATTCGCTTTACAATGGTTCGATGAAGGATTAAATTTTTTTATTACTGGCAGTGCTGGATGTGGTAAAAGTTATAAATTATAGATGCTATTGCTTCTAGCGATCAAATATTTAAAAATATTGCAGTAACAGCTGGTACAAAAAAAGCAGCTCATCAAATTAAAGGTATGACCGTACATAGTTTTGCAGGTATTGAAATAGGTACAAAATCTGTCGATTATTATTACAAACATATGCAAGTAGATGTTTTAGAAAGATGGAGAAATAAACACGTTGTGATTATCGATGAAATTTCAATGCTTAACGCAGATAACTTTGATTTATTACATAATTTAGCATGCAAAATAAATCAATGCAATGACGAATTGTTCGGTGGGATACAAGTCATTACTTGCAGTGATTTCCGTCAACTACCACCTGTAAAAGGTGATTATGTTTTTAAATCTGCAATATGGAAAAAATACATGTTTAATGTTATCGAACTTAATGAATCTTTTAGACAAGAAAATATTGAATTTTTTAACGCTTTAAACGAAGTACGAATTGTAAAAGTATCTAATAAAACGGTCGATTTAATAATGACAAGACACTTCGAAGTCGATCGTAATATAAATCCAAATTACATACGTTTGTTTTTTACAAATATGGAAGTTGATTTTTATAACTCGCGTCAATTAATGAATATTCCTTCTAATGAACATTGGTTTCATTCTAAAGATGTTATTAAAAATTCAAAAATAAATCCGATATTTCAAATACTTTTTTGTATAAATATTAAAATAGTTGCTGTAGTCATGTTAGTAAAAAATATAAACGTCGAAGAAGGTTAATGTAACGGTACGATTGGCGTTGTATCATTTATAGAAACAGATGTTGTTTGGGTTATTATAAATAGTAAAGAATTTAAAATCAAAAACGTGAGAGAGGACATTATAGATTGTACTCATAATATTATTGCATCTAGAATCAGTTTACCTTTACAATTAGCATTTTCTTTAACTGTTCATAAAGCGCAAGGTTGCACGTTAAATAAAACTATTTTGAATTTTAACAGTAAAATATTTATTTTATCGTTACCTTATGTTTCGTTTTCACGTGTTAGAGAAATAAGCGATCTATATATAATTCATAACAATAAAAACGAATTAAGAAAAATATTAAAAAATATAACTAGTGATAAAGATGTTGATTTTTTTAATAAAAATTTAGGTTAAAAAAATTTTGTAACATGTTAAAACAATATATATTTTACATATATATATAATAAACTTTTTTTCAGATTATTAATAAAAATGCGTTTTACAATTAAGAATGTCGAAGAAAAATTAGAAAACGAAAGTTATTATCGAGAAATATTATATTTTGTAAATAACAACTATAAAGGTGAAGATTTTATTGAAGAAATTGTATTAAACGATCAAATTCAAACACCTGAAGAAATTACTCATCACATTAATCAAAAAACTCAAAATAGTTTTCTTATTGAAACAAAAAAAGCGTCATCATTTGCTGATTTATTTCAAAAAATTTTTATTGGTTATAATATTGTAACACTTTGTGCTAAATCTACAGAAGACGGTTATTGTAAAATTATTAAAAGATGTTACAATTCGCCTGTATATTATATAAAACCACTAAAAGAATCAATAAATTTACAATATATTAAAAATAATTACATTCGTTCAGTTTTTAACATTTTAGAAAATGATAGCGGATGGAGATTAATTCGTTTATCTAGTTTTAAAGTAAAAACATTAAGCAATTTGACTGAAAAATCAATAATGAAACTTAGAAATTATGAACTTACTGGATATAGAAGAGTTTTTGAACTTAGTCCAGAAGAATTAATGATGAGGCGAGAAAATGAACGTAATCGAAAAAAAAATTTCTGAGCTCAGTCCAGAAGAATTATTGATGAGACGAGAACGTGAACGTAAACGAAAGAAAAAAGTTTCTGAACTCAGTCCAGAAGAATTATTGATGAGACGAGAACGTGAATGTGAACAAAAGAAAAAAGTTTCTGAACTCAGTCCAGAAGAATTAATGATGAGGCGAGAAAATGAACGTAAACGAAAGAAAAGAACTTCTGAGCTCAGTCCAGAAGAATTATTGATGAGACGAGAACGTGAACGTAAACAAAAGAAAAAGGTTTCTGAACTTAGTCCAAAAGAATTATTGATGAAACGAGAAGGTGATCGTGATCGTTATCGTAAACGAAAGAAAAATGTTTCTGAGCTTAGTCCAAAAGAATTAATGATAAATCAAAAACAAATATTAAATGGTAAAAATAAATGTTATACTAAAAATAAAAACGAAATTCTTTATAAGCGAGGTCGTGAGTATATAAGAGAAGAAAATCAAGACGAATGGTACGGAGAATGGTATCGTCCTCATTCATTAACTCATTGGAACAAACATAAAAGTAGTTCGTTTAAAATACTATCATACGAACAAAAAAGAAAAATGTTTTTAGATAATAGTATTTTGTTTGAAACTGGACTGTGTTTTTATTCAGCGTTCGTTGTTTCGTTATTAATAAGAAAGTGGAACGTAAACACAAGAATGGAATGCGAAAGTATTAGAAAAAAACGGTCAAATTTTTATTCTGAAGAAAATATAATGCAATTTCTCATCGAAGATCAAACGATTCGTGGATACACGCATTAAGTCACTTAAAAGAAAAAAGTAAAAATTTATCGTTTCTCGAACTCATTGATTTGTGTCACTCCTTTGCATACGAAAACACTTTTGATCGAATAAATATTAAAATTTTTTCAATGAGTAAAAAAAATAAAAACGTTCGTTTGCTACATCCTAAAATGAAATCGTTATTGTTTCGCAGTGGAAGCTATTAAAGTTCCACCACTTATATGGAACCATCAGGCCGTAATAGTCTTAAGAGAAGCAAGAAATATTTTATATAAGTGCAAGGAAGTGCAAGATAAATTATAATATTTGGACAGATGTCCAGAGTTCAGAGTTGTTGTTTAAAAGAAGGGTACTATTCAGTAATTAAGTTTGAGTTAAGTGGTGGTCATGTTAGATTTAAGTACGTGTTGTTGCAGTGTTCTGTAAGTTATTGTGTTTTGTGTTTGTATTGTTCTAAACGTTAAAGTTTTATGTGTCATTTAGTGTTTTTATTGCTTTGAATCTGTGTGTTCGTAAATAATGGTTCTTAGTCTCGCTCAGTCCAGTCTTATCATGTTCTCTTTACATATCAGGTTCGCAACTAGAATAAGTGAGTATAGTCACTAGTGGAATATATTTAGACGTAAATGCCTTAGACGCATGCAAACGTGCAAAAATACCTTAGAAGCATGCAACCTTATAATAAAAATATTCGTTTTAAATTTAGTTTATATACTCAAAGATCGACAAACACAATAATTCTGTTTATTTACATGCAACCCGAATACCTTCAGCCACAGATAAAAACAAAAGAACATCTAAGTAAACCTATCTGAATTTATCAGATAAATATTCAAAAACATTTAACAAAAATCAAAACAATTATTAACAATTGCTATCGTTGTGGTAAGCATAATGTGATACACAATTAACCTAATATAACACAACTACTCAATTCTTTAGATAAAAAGTACAACTTCAAAGCAGAAGTATTACAACAAACAACAAAAACAAACATTTAATATAAAGTGGAAACGCGCGCATGATTGTTTAAAGAAAGAAAATAAAAATACATCAGCGTTAAAATAAAATTCAAAATTATGAAGTATAATACCAGATTCTCGTCAGGAAGTGGACATTGTATTGATCCTTATAGAGATAATACTCTGGTATTTGACGTTTCGAATGTTTTAATGCTCATTTCTAGAAACTCCCGTCGGGGTAACATCCTCAAAACAAGCAAATAAAACCCACCTCTACGTCTGCGTCAAAGCCTTCTTATGTTGCAACATTTGAGAGGACATACTACTGCTCAGCCAAATACCCTAACTTGATCCATTTTAAACAAATTACGCTGATATACTTTTTAGAAAATTATCAAAACACGTTGCGCAAGAAGTAACATTAGAATACAAAAAACCTATAAGTTAAATTATTCCTAAATATTCAAGTACAAATTGAAGGCAAACAAACACACAACAAAATAAAAAACAATTAAGATAAAAAACTTACCATAATTTGATATTGAATAAGAATAAGTCTTGAAGGATATTTTGCGCAATGCCAATGAGCAGTTTATAGAGCGCATGTAAATTGTGATATTATACACAGATGTTGTATGACGTAAATTTGCGGTTAATCAAAATATCCCTCAAGCGAAGCCTCAGTAAATAATAACGCTATTGGTCAAAAAATATCTTAATTGATTGGAGGATGAAAGTGTAAGGTGATTGGTTAATAATGTTGTGTTTAGAGAACATAAAAAATATATAAAATATAAAAAATAGAGAACATTCAAAAGTGTCCTAAATTATTAAGATAATAAATTTTAACTCAATCAGTTAGGGAAAAGAGTATCGCGGGATCAAAGACATACAATGCAATAAAAGCTCCAATTTGTGTCTTAGATCCACAATGCAAGACAAAATATATTTAAGCGAGTTTTTAAGATAAATAAATCTAATTGAAAAAAGTGCAATTTGTGTCTTAGATCCA